CATTCAGGCTTGGATTAACAAATTTTCTGAAAAATGTAAATGGCATTCCGTGGCTTTAAATATACACTGTCCCGAGCGCATTTATCGGGTTGTCTGTCAGCTTATTGTGTGCTAGCTGGACTGGGTTGTTATTTGTTGATCAAATGGTTAGGCGGTTTTGGGAACATTGAGGGGTGTCAACGTACAAAGGACTCTCGTGCTAATTAAACAGCGGAAACAGTAGTTGACAGAAAATAATTAAGAATTTACTTAGGTCTCAATATGTACGATAAATGGACAGTAAGTAACGAAAAATACATTCTGAAAAATGGACCCTCCCTCAATGAAGTGGCATGGTGTCTAACAACAGTTTATTTATAGCTTGAGGCATCTCCCGACGAATACAAAGTTTAGAGAGGGATTTGAAGCAAATATATCATCAAATCACATAGTTTGTACGCGGGAAAGTATCTTTAAGGAGAGTATGAAATCAATGAATCGTTAATAAATGATATCAATGAGAGTATGAAGTTGATGGGACTATGAAGTTAATGAATTTCATCTTCGATAGTCGAGCAGCCTAGATTATCCAGACAATATTTACATGTTCTGTCAGATCTATCTATATTATACCATCTTCCAGTTTCTATTGCTAAGTTGTGGTTCACACATCTAAATCTGGTTAATGCTATTCGATATTTATTATTATAAAATTTTCTCAGGTTCGAGTATGGACTTAAAATGGCTGTACTGTTCAAGTTTAGAATTTGGAGATATATACGTGTGACCACTGTTGTTAACAGCTATCTATTAAAGATACATTATGGGAGATTCGATAACGAATTGGCAGTTCTCACTATAATAGTTAAAAACTAGATAACGTAAAGGCAATTTGCTGAAAATTTCATTCAAATTGATCCACTATGAACCGAAAACTAAGCGATCGAAAGTTCCGCATAGTCTCGGTCATCCTTACTAAAGTCGGTACGACAAAAATCATAGTCTCGATTATCCATTTAGTCGTTAAATCGAGAAGGAAAGTTATGCAGCAAATCGGATCATAATCCAACAATTATCGCAGGCTACCGTTGACATCGAGAGTTGATTATGGTCTGGATACGTTAATTAATGTCTAATTAATATTTTATATAACATTTCATGCCTAAAGAAAGACCTACAATAGGCAGATTTAGCTCTTGCATAATGTATGTTTAATCATTGCTTGAAGCTTTGTGGAAACATCTGAACATTGCCAACATATTATAGATCCCAGACTAACCCGTATCCACATTTATATAATATAAATTTGATGTTTGTAGCCCACGTGACTCTGCCACTATTATCCAATTTTACAAGCATATTATAAACAAGCTTTCGGAAACCTATCATTTGACATTATTTAATACATTTAAACAAATAATTTACAAACAATGGGGTTCTACCTAGCTCACAATATACGGCTGCATTACAAGTATATGAGTTTACATAATTTAATATTGATTTACAAAATTGAGTTTTAATATTTATGTCGCATTACGACGTGTACATATATCCCCATATTTTCGAACCATAGCATGCAACTGGAACTATCATTCTATCAAAAGAAACAATGCATCAGTGGTGTTAATTTTTTTTGTCTACGTATGAAACATAGAAGCATATTTCTAGCTTTCCGGGCTTGCTGTACAAGAGTATTTATAGCCAAAGACCAGCATAATTTTGAACTGAAGATGATACCCATAGATATTTATAAGAGGACACAACGGTGTCGATGCCGTCAAATCGCCACTGTTCATTTGCTTTCACAATGCCACCCCTATGGTAGCTAATTGGTATCATGTCGTGATGTCGTGGTGTCGCCATTCATAAGGCGACAACCCGACATCACGACATTTTAACCCAACACCCCAACAACCCGACATCACGACATTTTTAACTCGACAATACGACATTTTCAACCGACACCACGACATTTTTAATGTCGCGTAAAAATGTCGTATTCAAGTGTGATGTCGGGTTGTCGTGGTGTCGGGTTGTCGTGGTGTCGTGATGTCGGGTTGTCGTGGTGTCGTGATGTCGGGTTGTCGTGATGTCGGGTTGTCGTGGTGTCGGGTTATCGGCCATATTCCTCTCAATACTATGATTATATACACTGATCCTGGTGTTGGTCAAGAAAGTTACCCGGGATTTTGCAGCGTGGTTTCTCCATGTCGGTAGTGCAAGGACAAAGGGTCTGGCAAAATACAGTGTCTACTTGTGCAGATGTGACAAAAACAAGCTCCTGTGTACACATTGGCGTGCGCATAAAAGAGTTCTTCACAGTTGAAAATCGATGAAGAAATGCCACAGAACATTGAAAATTTCCGTCATAGCACTCTGCATAGCGTATGCATATCTTCAATAGCCCGATTCGTGCAGAAAAGTAGGAAACTGGAATGAAATGAAATTGTTGTTAACGTCCTACTGTTCTGCTCTGATTGGGCTAATGAAGGCGGGCATACGCTATACAGTGTACTGTGAGGGGAACTTTGCCCGGATAGCGGCGCTACGGTCTACTCTTATATTGAATTCCAAGTGCCAAGGGGTCTTTACGTGCTCGCTAATATGTATATACGGAACCTTGATTTTTCGTCCCATCCAAAAGACTATACGTTATCCCCTGCCAGACCCTCCGTCCTGTACCACTGTAAAGAGGAATCACGCCGGAAAATTCCCAATGAGCTTTCTCGACCAACGCAGTGATCGAACACGAGACTCAACCTTAACGAGCCAATGTGGACTGGGGTGCCTGACAAAGGATAAAGTATAGTCGTTCGGATGGGACGAAAAACCGAGGCCACATTTATTGACATGCACGTAAAAGAACCCCTGACAGTTGGAATTTAATATGAGAGTAGACCGTAGCGCCGCTATCCTGGTGAAATTTCCCACATAGTACACTGTATATATAGGGAATGTCTGTCTTCATTAGCCCAGTCGGAGCAAAACGGAAATGACGGAAATTTCCAATGGACCGTGACAATTCTTCATCGAATTTCAACTGTGAAGGATTCTTTTATGTGTACGCCAATGTATACACAGGAATTGCTTGTTTTGTCCTATGTACAATACTAGGTACTGTTCTTTGTCAGGCCCTTTGTCCTGCACTACCGACATGGAGAAACCGCGCTGCACATTCCCGGGGAACATAATCATTCTTGAGAGGAATATGGCCGATAACCTGACACCACGACAACCCGACATCCCGATAACCCGACAACCCGATATCACGACACCACGACAACCCGACATCACGACATCATGACATTTTAACCCGACATTACGACATTCTTACGCGACATTACGACATTTTTCGTAATAACTAATAGCGAAAGAGTATAAATAAAACTCTATGGCGTCGTTTTTCTAATTGCCTAATCTGTCATAGATACAACGGACGTCAGATGGACATGAAATAATCGCGACTCTTGCAACCGTGGGTTTCTTAACCAAGGGATCAGCATAGAGCATAGCAGGGTTTTCTTCTTCTAGAAGTCTCACTTCTATGTTAAAATCAGGCTTCTTTGTTTTTAATCGAATAGTTAGTTGCGTGCAATAACCTGGAGAAAGGAGTACTTGCGGCCTGCATGAAATAACGAATGGTATTAATAGAAGTATGACCTGAATGTGCCGATCCCGTAACATAAAAAAGCACTTCGTTGGCCTAGCTATCCGATAAATTAGTGTAGGGCGACCTTGAAATAAATACGCGAACCCATTTTTTATGTGATTGTCCCCAATGGACTTCTCCGTATCTTGTAATTCCAAGATAGTTGAAAATTCGAACCTCTAGGTGACCCACAACCTGGGTAATACATGCTTTAAGAGTAGCTGCCATTTTGTTGGGCAGTTTCGATACGATTTCGACATTTGAACCTAGCCGTAATTATGGTGTAACGGTCTTATATTTGAACGGTTTTTATAATTAAATGTATTGAAATCCTTATACGGCATTTAGTAATTGAACATATAATATAAAAACACAAATTTATATGGAAAACAATCACTGATTTTATTTCACACTAAGTCTCAATAAGTTCCTCTTGTCGTTCTTAATTCTCAAGTACTTGAGAACGAAAAGAGGAACTTGTTGAAACCGACAAGAGGAAATTGTTGAAAACGATTGTTTTCCATATAAATTTGTGTTTTATATCAAATGTAGTATGTGAAGTGATGGTCCAATATGTGCCAATATCGAAAGAAACAGAGATCTTTCAGTTATAAACATACAATGTCAGTTTCATCAAAATCGTATCAAAATTGCGACCTCTACTCAAGAGTATCCACAGCCTTGGTACTATTATGCATACATTTGTCAAGTTCGGCATCGCAGGAAACGACCATCGACAGTATTTGCATGGTAAGGGATATAGAAAAGAAATAAAATTTCACTTCATTGGTGAGTATTAGCCAGATATCGCTCACATAGCGTCTCTGGCGATCTAGACACCCAGGAGCTGCAGGGGCCTGGTCGTCACCTGGACCCTCGCCTAGAGTCCTAGGATGGTAGCCCCCCACCAAACAAAATAAAAATTCCACCGGCCCTGTGATAAAATCATATTTGCAATGTGTGTTAACCAGTTCGATCATAGTAATATTTATGAACTTCGGGCTCGATCTCGGTGTTGGCAGAGAAATTTCCCCTCGATTTTCCAACGTGGTTTACCATTGTCAGCGGTGCAGGTCGGGGTGGGTGGCAAGAAAAACCGTCTAGTCGTCACTCAAAGGAATCCGTGGAATTCAATTGTTGTCCGGGGAAAATTTGCCTCATATTATAGCACACCGTATGGCGTATGTCCGTCTAAATTCGTCCGGTTGATGCAGAAACCGCATTTCATTCATTTATTGGTGGACACTAACATTGTTCTTTGAACACAGTTACATTTCTCGAACCTCCTCTTTTGAGCGAGGGATGACATGATATTCAAGACAAAAGTTTTTTCTTTTTTGTCATGCCCAAGCACAAGATTTGCACGGGGACAATGGCGGTAATTGTTTCATGTCAAGTTATATAATCTAATACTGTCGAACAATCCAGAGAGATTATCAGTAAGCCAGTTGCAAGACATTGAATAATGGATTGCTTGTTAATTAGTATATGGGACCCTTGACAAGAGAATTGCGTAATTATTGAGGTCATTCTCGCATTGTTTGTCGCTATGTGGTGTTAATGATTTGATGTTAACAGATTGGTTGTTATGATATAGTGTTCTCGACGTTTACCTCGAGGGTTATCAATTTATAAACTACCTGACAGCTACGACAAAATACATGATCATTGTGAAAAGAGTGACAATAGAAACGGATGCCGAGTCCGGTCTAGAAATACTAGTAGCTAAAGTAAATCAACTTGGGGTCAGTGTAAAAGCAGTTATATGTCGACACCGACCCATCTCCAGTTGTGAGTAACAAGGTATGAACGAGCCAGTTATGCCTATATGGTGTCAGTAATATATTTTATTGCCTGGAATATTTGAAAAAGAAAAAAACACATTATGCCATACGTGGATCTGAAACCCCCAAAACGGCGCAGCATTTCAAATAGGTAAGTTATATAAATATTTTATTTTTATTTTTCAAGGAGTTAGACGTTTAATAATAATTTTCATATCGTTATATTCTACATACCTGTAATGAAGGAATGAATGCCACGGCCTACACATATACATGCTAAAACAAGAGAGAACGGAAAGGATTGATAACCCTTGAATCTTGTGAGTTTTCCTACCATTAACGATTGTATTTGTGTGTGTGGGAGGGGGGCTATGTGCCCTCTCTTCTGAAAAAGTGCCCTTATTTCTGTAAAAGTGCCCTCGAATTTCAAAGAAATTACCTCAAATCCACTTGCAAATGACCTCGTTAATGGCATCATCGATTAATCCTGCTTAATTGTCGGCTCCCACTCTCAGTGGGGCCAATTAATTAAAGACTGCTGGACCCATATTCAAAAGACATCTTACGCCTAAGATTGTCACTTAAAGCGACATTAGGTAAGATTAGATAAAGAGCTGACAGTAAATAGTAAAAAAAACGTAGATAATGAACAGAGAATATGCTGAAATTTCAGTCAAATTACTTCACTCTGATCCAAGCTATCGGCCATTCAATTTTTGTCTAGCCGCGTTTGGCATTCCTACCGTTGTTTCGATACTAAACAACTTGTCGGCGATATCACCCTTGGTGGGAGCGGACTTTAAAAATACTAAGAACACCAACAGCAGAGTTAGAAGAAGGCTTTTGCATTACCTTTGTGAAACAGATGGGTGGGTACCTTTAACATACTGCTTGGACAAAGCCCGAGTTCTCAAAACATTTCCAGACTTAAGAATTTACTCAAAATTGTTCGCCTTATTTTAACTAAAATATAGCCTTGTATAAAACATTTGTTGTTTAATTTATGAAATACAGCAATAAGAAACTATGTGAAAAGTTTTGTGTTTCTGGATCAAATATATTTCTCATAAACAGTGACTGAGTGATTGAAATGTTTTTGTTTGGTGAAACTGGGGCCAGGCTTCTTACTGAATTGACCTGCAATGGAGAATTGAAAACACTGACCTTGACATGAACCCGCTCGATTACAACCCACGACCGAGTGTGTATTAATGAGAAAGAGGATTACACCCCTTTGAAAAGAAACGAAGTTGATGAACCGTGAAAAACTTTTCTTATTTATCACAAAATTATCATAAAAGTTCCCGCCATTTTGTTTATAACATTGTCATCCTTAACTAAACATAAAAATGGAATGAGGTTTTAACGTACGTCCTACTGTTCGACCGCTCCGACTGGATAAATGAAACCGGGCATACGCCATACATTGTGTTATAAAGGAAATTTTGCCCGGACAGCGGCGCTACGGCCTACTCTTATATCGAATTTCAACTGCCAAAGGATCTTTTATGTGCACCCCAATGTGTACGCGGGACCTCGGATTTTGATACCATCCGAACGGCGAGACAACTGTCCTTGTCATGCCCTCCGTGCTGCACCACTGACAAGGGGAAACCACGCCTGAAAATCTCGATGAACATTCTCGGCTAACACCAGGATCGAACCCGCGACCTCCAAGCTTACCCACTTAGCCACCGTGGCTCTCAACTAGGCATAAAGTAATCAGTTGAATGGTGTACATTTATGAGATTCAAAATTCTAAATGCTAAACATGTAAAGCGTCAATGAAGAAGTCATTTTTCGTCTTAATAATACAAATTTACACTGAACAAATAAAGAAATTGTCTTAATGTAGAAATTACATGAATAGAAGTTAGAAATTTGACGATAGCACGACATTAACAAATTTTGAATTTTGAATCTTGTATACCGCCATACACATTCCCTAGTAAACATTTTTCGTGGAAGATAAATATAACATATGACACAATTATATACAACTTATTTCAAAGATTTATTACTGGCGACGTTTCGACGAGGGTTCTCGCCTCTTTATCAGGGAAAGAAGATAGATAATATATCTATATCTATAAAAGAATTGTTATTTTTAAGAGAAAATATTTTTTTTTTTTAAATTTTAATTTTGTAAAATTTGATTTATTTTCAGTGTATACAAGAGAGTGATTACATTTTTTGTAGTGGTTGTAATAGCATCAGTTTTTATAATGTATGGAGGTGTGAAGTCATCAGTCATTCATGTAAACATTAGCACTGAGGACAAAGATCTACATACATATATAGATGGTAGATTAACATCAGAATATGAAATTGAAACTACCTATAAAGATCCTAAAATTATATTATGGTATGTTCCACCTAGATATGTTAATAATACACCAAATCTACAACCTTTAAAGGCGTGTCCAGAGAGAAGCTGTTTTACCACAACAAATAAAAAGTATATGAAAGAAGCTGCAGCTGTTTTGTTCAATGCTCAGATTATGCAAATACCCAAACCGATGTCAAGACCAGACCCTAAACAAATATGGATACTTCATGATACAGAGCCCGAGAAACCCGACTGGAGTCACAGTGTAGCTTTTAGAAAACCAGAATGGCGGGATTTATTCAACTGGACCATGTTTTATAGGGAGGATTCTGATATTTTCGCGCCTTACGGCATTGTGAGAAAGAAAACACCGTCTGAGTTGTTTAATAGAGATTTAGATTCGCTTGTTAAATCAAAAACTAAAAATGTGGCTTGGATGGTCAGTCATTGCACCACACATGGTAAAAGAGATGAATATGTTAGGCTACTTCAGAAATATATCGACATCGATATCTACGGTAACTGCGGTTCTTTACAGTGGCCAAGAAACCGGGACAAGGAATTTATGCACATGCTAAATTCAACATATAAATTTTATCTAGCTTTTGAAAATTCATTTTGTGAGGATTATATATCAGAAAAATTATATCGTTATTATAAAGCCGACTATATTTTAGTGGTTCGAGGTGGGGGCAATTATACAAAATATATTCCTGCTGGAACATTTATAGACACCAGAGATTTTAAAACTATCAAGGATTTAGCTGATCATCTACACAATCTCAGTACAAATCACGAGGCTTATATGAAAATATTAAGAAAAAAAGATTTGTATATAAGCGTGACCGAACCACTGAAAACAGTAGCAGGCAACAGTGTTATTTATACCCACTACCAATACGAGACAGCATCGCTTTGCGAAGTTTGTTATAGACTCAATAATTTACAAAAATATACAAAAACAATTGAAAGAATTGACAAATGGTTTGATAAAAAGTTGTGCTATCCGCCAACTGATCTCAAGTGACCTTGTATATTGTATATATACTTTAAAGGATTGTATGTCAGAATTTATCTGGACGTATTTTTTTATTTATATATATATATATTTATTTAAAACTGCTTTTTTATCAGGAATTCGATGAATATATTTTAGTCCCAATAGAGGTACCAGCTGAAAGATGCATTGCGTTAGGTAAAAAAAAAACCCAGAGAAACGCAGCAGTGATTAAGCTATGTCTGAGTTAAATTTACCGACGGAACGAGAGAGGGAGATAGATAAATAGGAGTGTCCACTCAACACAAACTAGGTAATTTCGGGACTAACATATGGTTCAATTTTATTTCAATATTTCGCTTGCGCATAGAGATCTTTACCAGTGAGGGGAAACCGGAGGACCCGGAGAAAACCCACGAGGTTGGACAGGCGACCCTACTCCTTGTCTGATTTCAATATATATAGTCTTATATTGTGTTGAAAAGTTATACCCACAAAGTTGTGTTCTTTTTGGATTGCATTAACAGAAGTTCTGTGTTTACATTGTCGTTTTTCCTGTTCGCATATTGCTTGTGGGCTCTTCTCTGGAGTCTTAAAGTTCTCACCTGGTTGACTTGAAATTTCCAAAAAGAAAAGCTTAAGTTCATGGAGACGTAGCTGTTTATTTCTGATAATTACTTACATATCTATTGCCATTGATCAATTTATACATATAGTGCTTAAATTCATTGGGCAAAAAAGCCTATATTCCATAATTGTTGTTGGATTTTTGGCCCTTGATCAACTTTAGAAATCTTTACAAACATATAACCGCTTTGACGTGAGACGATGTTGGAGGCTCTAGATGATAATTATTAAAGCTATTTTAAATGTATACACAGTGTTTATGGTCATTTAATTGGAGTTATTGGCCTTGTCACAAATTTCTGATTGATACTGTATTTATTATCCGATTTATTTGACATTTGTACACAGTGTTTGTGTTCACGAGACACAGAAGTCTGTTGAATTCAATCCGATTACCGATAATCGTTTATGCAATAAATATTGGTGGGGGCCAATCAAACTTGTATAAACAATTACTTCATAGGTTTTTACTCTTGATCAGCATTTAGTAAATGATTCCATTGCCTACAAAAAAATAAATATGCGATAACATGATGGCATTGCCCCGTTTCCCCGCAAACTATCTCTACCATTGCATTAACACATCAACCCTCTCCTACAAACTTCGAAATTATAAAACAAGTGATCATTTTACATAAAACATGTATTGGCATCTTCAATAGAAGGCCTGATCTCGCTTTAACTACGTACATCTTATCAAGCCCTTCACGTATACGTAATACCCTGCATATTTCGGCACTAATTGCAATTGGGTACAAGCCCAGTTTGTGAGCCTATCGGATTCCTCGATCGTCGCGAATACGAAGTCTCCCGCTTTCAAGCTAAAATGTCTACCTGTGATAATCGAGTTGCAAAGTTCAAGGTTCGTTCAATGTCAAGGTTTCTGTGGAGGCCGCGATGCCACAACCTCTGATTGGACGCTAATGTTCATGTGTCTGTAGATAACGTAGCTATAAATTCGTGAATTGTAAAGTAAGCTTGCAACGTCCAGATGTTGTAAAACTTGAGTACGTTGCTTCAGGAACATGATATATTGGTGAATATTCCCACTTTCTCTTTTTCAAATACAATGTTAAATACGCTGGTCAATTCTGTATTATAGTCTTGGATCTGACTATGGTTCTGTAGGAAAGTTTGAGTAGGGAGAATATTTTTGAAGAAATGTTTAGTTGGTGGCGCGTAGTCAGTATTTTGGACTTGGGTGGACACTCACCAAGTGGTAGGTTATTCCCTATGACGTCAACAAAGATGGCCACCGACGTTACTTCAATTTTATCCTACCTGCTATAGTTTTCTGCCAATGTCTATGAAATAAAGGTCAGAATGAAGCTGTCTATGCGAACTAAAGAGAAAAATATATTTATTACTATTGTTTTATTAATTTTTCACGAAAACTCACCCAATTCCAAATGGCGGTCTTCTCGGAAAGCGTTCTCTCGTTATCAGTGTGTTTTAGTGGTGGGAGAATAACTCTTTTTTTTTTAAATTCTTCAAACTCAAATGGTGATAGAGGCGAAATGTGCTGAAATAAAGAATTGGACCCCAAAAAACTGTATTTTTCATGCTATTTCGTAAGGTGACTTAGCTATAAGGGTTCAAAAATTAATTTCCGATAAGATTGTCTGTTATTCATTTCACAAGTTCTTGTGATTGCCACAACAATACTGTTTTTCATCAGCAAGGGACACTAGGCAAATAGGCAAAAATGCACCTAATGATACCCCAGGGGCGGAGTGATCATTGCTCCGTAAGGGCGGGGTTCCGCTGGGGTTCTCTCCGAACAGGCGCAAAATTTCGTTAGAAAAACTGACTGTAAATTGTGCCTTATAGAGTATATCTTAGAGTTTCTAGATTCTGCACATATTTAACTTGCGGCAACCTTAGCAATTCATCAAAACCGACGCAAATTCATGAACATTAACTAGTTTCGGGAGCCCTGAAACTACCATACTCCTGTTCAGTTCATCCCTAAAAAGGAAGGGGAAAGATAGGATGTTAAAACGTGTTGCAAATTTCTGCATTACTTAATTAATCATCAGTAGAAATACTCTATATAAAATGATAAATGAAATGAAATAAAATGGAGTTTAACGTTCTACTGTTCTGCTCCTAACCTGGGCTAATGAAGACAGGCATACGCCATACAGTGTGGTATGAGGGAAATTTTGCCTGGACAGCGGCACTACGGCCCACTCTTATATCGAATTCCAACTGCCATTACGTGCACGCCAATGTGTACACGGGACCTCGGTTTTCGTCCCATCCGAACGACTAGACAGCTTTCCTTGTCAGCCCCCCCCCCCATCCTGCATCACTGACAAGGGAGAACCACGCCGGAAAATCTGGATGAATTTTCTCGGCCAATGCAGGGATCGAACACCCGACCTCCAGGCTAGCGAGCTAGCGTCTTACCCACTTAGCCACGTGATCCCCTATAAAATGATAAATCGTGTATTATTTTACAGGTACAAAATAGAAAAAAAAAGATATGTTTCCGTTTTATCTAATAAACAATTTGTTATAATTTCATGCAGAAAGATTTTCTGTTAAAACGTGTTGAAAAATTTTGTATTACATGGAATTTTATCTTATAAATTAACACTTGGTATTTTGATCGAGTATTTTACAGCAACCGTTTCCGTTTAATCGAAAATTAAAAAAACCCAATTTATTTTTAGTTGGAGTGGAAAGTGCTACAGGTGGTAGATAATATTTAAATGTTGTTTAAATGTGTATTTTCATAAACTTATTATGCAGATAGATTTTTATACGGAAGGTCCACTTGGATATAAAATACGATTTTGTGTGAAATAGGCGTCCTGAATACAATGCAACATAGGAGGATTATGAAATTTTACAGTCTAGTAGTTTATTTATCCCCTGATTCTGTGAAATAAAGAACATTTTGCCACCAAAGCTGGTTTAAATACCGTTTGATGCAAAGTAAACATACCCTTTTCTGCTTGCCCAGTTTGCGATATTTTAGTATGTTTACGGTAATAACATGTCTTAAAACGTTTCTATTTTAAAGGTAACAATTATTATCGTTTTAGCCTCTTGAGCGCCCACAAGAATTTTCAAAGTGATCAAGGGCCTTCCATCTGGCAGTAATTATTGGAAATTGTTGAAAATCAATAGGCTTCTTCGTCTCATGAACTTACACACAGTGTATAAATTTAAAGTCAATCCGATATTAACTTTAGCCCCTAAAGCCTCAGCAAGCAATTGTGGACGCTGGACCGACGTACGGACGGATTGGGACGACGGCAATATACGACCACCATTTCAATATGGGCACATAAAAATTGTTTGCATCATTTTTGGGTAATCCGCCCAGTGGTGTTGGGTATGTCGCCAAGGTATAGGCGGTATGCCCCGAGCAGTAGTGGGCTATTTGCCCCACTTCCACCACTCGTGCAAGTTTTAAAATGACCGATACTAAATACTGGTGTTATTATCGATATAAATTTGATTTCTATATCTTTCATAGCTAACTTATAGCTACACTCGATGACTCCCATCTACAAATTTGAAAGTCACACACTAGGATAAAATTGAAATAACGTCGGCGGCCATATTTGATGACATCATTGTTGAATAACCTACCACGTGGTGAGTGTCCACCCACTTTTACTGCACCCTATTACATTACGGCGTAGTGATACATCATTTTTTGACAGCAATTCAACCATTGCAAATTCCTTTATTTTGACCCAGTGTTTCCATCAAAGTCAATTAAATAAAATAGTTCATGTTAAATAAAAAAAAAGTTACTTTCAATGAAAATTGAATTGTTCTTTGAAAATAAAAAAGTAGTCCCTTTTTAATTGACCAATCAAATTATAAGGAGATACCACAGTAGATTATGAACTTTATCACATAAGCGATATCTACGGTAGAATGTGCTATTGGGTGGTACAGGAATATATTCTGGGTTATATTGTTCTAATAGCTAAATACTCTGCCGGTTTTGCTTTCCGAATACGATTTGTCACGTGGATCAGTATATAAGAGGCTCAACTGTACTAAATGAAATGAAATTGGGGTTTAATGTCCCAACGTTCTGCTCCAAACTGGTCTAATGAAGACGGGCATACGCCATACATAGGGTGACCCATGTACTCACAGAAATACAGTCCACCGCTGATAGTTCGAGACTACCACTGAAGCGTGCACATTCGCCGTGCCGAGACCAACTTTCTTACAGTATGATACTATAAATAGCCATGGCACGTGCAATTCTCTACAAATCTATCAACTATTACTGCCGTAAAAAAATGATTGTTGACGATTTTGAATAGCAGTTAAATTAAGCTTCTTGGTTATTACAGCAGATTTAGAAATTACGTTCGTTTCATTTTTTAAATCGCTTTATCATTAACTGTACCGTTAAGAGCGGCATCTTTTGGTTTAGTACAAATAATATCTCTGAATCACTCGGGTTAGGCAGGAACATGATACTAGCAGTAGTTTCATTTTACTTTTACAAGCTTCTTAAAACGATTGTTGAGCTACCTAACGTGCTTATTTCTAAATTCAATTTCTTGTTCTAGCTTTCTGTTACGTTTCGTAAAAAAGTAGTCTTGATTATCCCGACCTGTCAATCAGACGTAGAATGGTCGATAGACTGGTTAACCTATCTTTTACTCAAAAGTGTCTGGATGTTATGGACGACTCTTGGAACCAGTTTTCAGTCTATTATTTATACATGATTAATGGTCATAGCTTATTAAGTACAACATGATCGTTTATTTAGTGACTATAATTGTGTGAAACTGATCTGAGGCTTGGCATATATATAAATATTGTGGCGTAATTGTCGAGATATATGGAGATATTTATTTATGGTGGGTCACCCTACCATACAGTGTGCTATGAGGGAAATTTTACCCGGACAGCGGCACTACGGCGTACTCTTATATCGAGTACAAACTGTCAAGGTATCTTTTACGTGCACGCTAATGTGTACACCGAACCTCGGTTTTCGTCCCATCCGAACGACTAGACAGCTGTCTTTGTCCACAGTCCACTGACAAGGGTGAACCACGCCGGAAAATCTGGATGAACTTTCTCGGCCAATGCAGGGATCTAGCATCCGACCTCCAGACTAGCGACCCAACGTCTTACCCACTTAACCATCGTGCCCACCCCCTCGAGTGTACTATGGTTAATCCAAATGACCAAAATAAGTTTACTTTCGCCAACGTCTTTACCACATCAATCAGTGTAGTCTATTGACGGAACAATATATTTCCGTATGACGAAGGTACACATATTAGAGCCCAAAATATCAACCAGGCTCGTATTATTATTTTTACATCATATTTATAGTGCGCCCTTTCATATA